TGGTGACTTTTGGTTTAGTAAAGCATTTTTCCTTTCCTTCCTTGACTTATTTATTGTGAAGGACCAGGATAGTTGTAGCAACATCTAAAGAGCAGAGAGAGCTTTCTCTGCCTATAGTGTTTTGGAGGCTGGGGAGCACGAACCTGAGATGGACCAAAGTTCTTCCTTCATTGTGAACTCCTGAAGATGAACTCCTGAAGAGTTATGGGTGGTTTAGTTTTTCCCTCTCTTTTTATTTTTTCCCTCCAAGAAAATGAAGGGGAAATGAAGATGATGTAAAGGAAAGACTGTCATGGAAACGGAGCAGCATTTGGAAGCAGCTCTCTGTTTTTAGAAACAAGGCCATGTGCTGAAAGAACCCAGAGCAATCTGGTCCCTCCAAACCGGTGTTGGTGAGAGACTGACAGTAGGAAGAGTTAGTGCCTGTCTAATAGCTACTCTCGGATTAAATTCCCACCTGCAGAAATCCCACCTGGATTCAGTGTCCTGGGTCCATCCTGACCTGCTGAGTCTTGTGTCCTACCTGTGGTACCTCCTCAGGGCTCTTTCTGCAGTGTTGTGGAAAGCCAGTTATGGGATTACTGGTGGGATTCCATGTATTCCATGACATTACATGTAGGATTCCAGGTTTCTTGTGCATCCCAGTGTAAGCTCTTGGCAGCAGAAGGAGGGCTGTGGACTCTGCATTGCTTCGATATTCTCCCCTGTTGAGGATCCCAAGGTGGAAACTCCATCCCCTCGTGTTCACTGGGCTGTTGTCTTCGGTGTTCCACGTATTTTCAGGTTGTGTTATGTCTCAGGATGTGAGGGAGACGGGTTGACATGTTTTCTGATAAATGCAAGAAGACTTTTTAGAAGAAAATCCTTTCATATTATGCAGCGGAATTGGTGGATATAAATTATTTATGACTCGGGTTTTGTGTGCTGGAGAGCACAAAGCTGAAGTTTCCCAAATCGTGGTTATAAATAAAAGGACCAGAAATTTCAAGTGCTTAAAGCTGATCATGCTGATCTGGAAGAGCTCCTGGATTCTACTCCTGGGTTCCCTGGGAGTTTGGCAGTGACACTTGGACATCTCCAGGAAAGGGAACAGAGCTGGGGAAGGGTCTGGAGCAGCAGGAGCAGCTGAGGGAGCTGGGGGGGCTCAGCCTGGAGAAAAGGAGGCTCAGGGGGGACCTTCTGGCTCTGCAACTGCCTGACAGGAGGGGGGAGCTGAGGGGAGTCGGGCTCTGCTCCCAGGGAACAAGGGACAGGACGAGAGGGAACGGCCTCAAGTTGCAACAGGGGAGGTTTAGTTTGGATATTGGGAACATCTCTTCACTGAAAGGGTGGGTAAGCATTGGAACAGCCTGCCCAGGGCAGTGGTGGAGTCACCATCTCTGGAAGTGTTGAAAAAATATCTGGATATGGTACTTGAGGCCATGGTTTGGTGACCAAGGTGGTGGTGCTGGTTGATGGTTGGACTTGATCCTAAAGATGTTTCCCAACCTGAACAGTTCTGTGATTCTGGGGTCCATCAGAGACAGACAGAGAGCTGCTCTCCCAAAATGGCTTTAGAGCAGAGGATTTAGTGGGATACACCTGCCCCACAGGCCCTGCAGGGATCTGTGACAAAATACTGAAGTTCTCCAATATTGTCCTGCAAGGAGAGTCATTGGGGGGCTTTTGGTGGGAGAATTTCTTAGTTTGGGGGGGTTGGTAAAGTGGTGTCGCTCAAAACACTTCCCTGGAGAGGGGAGAGGCCTGAGGGTGCTGATAAATGAATTCCTTGCATTCTGGAGCCAGTCCTGGTTTGTTTACCAGGTTCCAGGTTGGTGCAGCAGTGACACTGAGCTGGGACAATGGGACTGAACAATTTGCATAAACAGATTTGCTCTGCAATTACCAGGTTTCCTCAGCACAGCCAGGCATGGAGAGCAGGCAAGGGAGAAGCCACTGATGATGCCAGGTAGCTTATTTTCAGATGCAAATAATCCAGCTGTTTCAAAATGATTTTTAAAATGAAATTACTGTGGCACAAAGCACAAAAGATGACAAATCTCATTTGGAGGGTTTTGTTTGTGTTTGTAGAGGAGAGTGACTTAGGGTGACATCTTGCATGCCAAGTTTGGGATCAAAATAGGTGCAAACTCGGGGTAAATAAAGTGTATTTTATGTAGCTATGTATCTTTGAATGGAAAGGAGCTGTGGTTATTTAGGAGTAATGGGGTTGCTAAAATTGCAGTAAGTTTCTATTTCGGTATCTGTCTCCTCAACCAGGTTTTTTTCTGCTGTTGGTGGTACCTCCTTGTAAAGATTTCAGCTTGCACAGGATCAGTTCTGCCCTTTCCCCTCAGCTATGAGCCTTGGAGAGCCTTGTTCTGCAGCACAGTCCAGAGAGCTCTGGTCTAATTGGGAAAGTTAATTAGTATATTAATTACTGCATCTCATTGTCCAGTTAAATGGACAATAAGACTGCTGGAAAGGGGACAGGCAGAGATCTCCTTCCAGCACGCTTTGGACAGATCTCAGCTGGGAAGAAGAGGATAACACAAGTTTTTCCAAGAGAGCTGCTGGCATTTGGGGCTCTGGGGGTGTGAGCTGTGCCCACACTGTTTGAGTCACATCCAGAGTAGTCTGTGCCCACTGCTGCACACTGGCTCAAAGCCCACGTTTTCTGTCAGATTGTTTATCTATTTTTATATCCCACCAGCTCCTACTGCTGATGGAGGAGAAAAACTATTTTTCTTCCTACAGAAATTCTGTTCCTTTAGAAAAATTAAGCAAGCACATCCAGCTTTGCCTTAAAGCAGCTTATGGGAATGGCACATTTATTCCTGTAATTAGTTATTTTCTGATGTAAAAGACCTGAAGGTTTATTAAATTGGTGATCCTCTTAATGCTAAAATTCACAATGAGACTCTCAAGTGTCCTATTACATCCTGAAGTAATTGTGTGCTCAGTAGGAGTCAGGCAGCCCAGGACAGGTTTATTTAAGGGAATAAATATTGTCCCTGTTTTCGTTTGGTGAGGGTCATCTTGGAGTCCCCGTGTCAAGGGAGAAATGGTTGCTCCTGCAGCCTGGTTGATTTTGTGCAGAGGAGGCCACCAGGATGATTTAAAAGGATGGAGCAGCCCTGCTGTGCAGAACGGCTGAGAAAATTGAGATTGCTCAGCCTGGAGAAGAGAAGGCCCTGGGGTGACCTCATTGTGGCCTCCCAGTGCCTGAAGGAGCGACAGGAAAGGTGGAGAGAGACCACTGACAGGGGTCTGGAGTGCCAGGGCAAGGGGGAATGGCTTCCAACTGCCAGATGGCAGGGTTAGATGGGATATTGGGAAGGAATTCCTGGCTGTGAGGGTGTGGAGGCCCTGGCACAGGTTGCCCAGAGAAGCTGTGGCTGCCCCATCCCTGGAAGTGTCCAAGGCCAGGTTGGATGGGGCTTGGAGCAGCCTGGGCTGGTGGAAGGTGTCCCTGCCCATGGCAGGGGGTGGCACTGGATGAGCTTTAAGGTCCCTTCCCACCCAAACCATCCTGGGATTCCATGATCCTACTCCAGTTGTGTAGAGCAGGTGAACTGGACCCAAAGCCCCCGTATGTGTCTGGGGACTGTGACAGGACCCTCAGGAGATGAGGGGCTGTAGCTGTACCCTGAGCCTGCCGGGAGCTTGGGGATCAGTCCCTCCCTCTGCTGCTGTTGGGTGGGATTTACAGGCAGGGGATGGTTCTGACTGACCCACTGCAGCTCTTGTTGAGGAGGGGAAGCACAGGGACATTGGACCCATGGCAAGGGAAAATCGGAGCTTCCCCTGCTATTCATCCCACGAGAGGGCTGCCAGCTGGGATTGGGATGGGCCAGCTGGAAAGTTTTGAGGGTGAGGACCAATTGTTCCACATTTCCCACTGCATCATCCAGCTTTATTGTTACATGTGACAGCCTTGGGGCTGATCATCACTGCTCAGAGACCTTTGGGTGGAGCAGTGTGGATCTGCCATCACAGCAGTCATCCCTGTACTCCTGCCAGTAGAATGGATGAGATGGAATACCTTTTTATTCCAGGCCTGTAAGAGGAGGAATGCTGACATGTCTTTCTTCCTCTTCATGAGCACTCACTCTTTGGGATGTGATTCCTGGTTTGTAGTGCATTGTGTAAAGCAGAAAAAAGCTCATTCAACTGGTCTCACCCACATCACTGATGATCCATCTCCCCCAGTGTCAGGGACCATGTTTTTCTCCTCCTGCTCTGCGAAGTCTGTGCTGGTCTTGCTGTTTGGTCACTGCTCTCTCCATCAAAGCCTCTCTTGAACCCCTTCATTCCTCTGGAGCTCAGGGCTGGCATAGCAGGAGGAGCCCCTGCAGTGTTTCAGAGTCCCTGGGATGGAGAATCCAAGCCCAGCTGAGCTCATGGCTCAGGAAAGAGCAGCTGGAGGAAGGAGAGGATGGGAAAGTGTGACAGAACAGAAAGGAGGGAGTTTGGAGTTCTGGCCTCACTGAAGTAATTCAATTCCAGTGATTAAGGAGTTATAATATCATCATGCACTTAAACCAATAGCTTCAAACCTCTATTTTAAAAGGTCACCTCCCACACGAAAGCAGCTCTGGCATTAACTTGGTTTTCCACTGTGTGAGCTATCCAGCTGCTTCAGTGCCTCTGCACAGATGCCTGGAAAACCAGGTCCTTAATGAGGAGTCGGAGTGTGGAGTTTGGGAATGTCTGTTTGACTCCCACCTCTGAAAATCTGCCCTTTAAGAACCAGAAGCAGTAATGAATTAAACACTGGATTTCACAGTTATTGCTAAGAATTAGCAAGTCTCTGCAGCATGGGAGAGAGATCTTCACAGTCAGGATCATCCCATCCGAGATCCCAATCCTGAGGGTCAGTTTTCCGTGTTAAAAAGGCAGAAGCACAACTTTTAGCACATGTGGAGTTTGTCCTTCAGAACAGACAGGCTCCTGCTCAGCAGGGAGATGTCCAGAGCTTGCAGCCACACTTTAACCCCCTTTTTCCCTGTTTCCTGCAGGCCAGAGGAGCTGACATCCCTGAGATCCCGGGAGAGCTGCCGCTGCGCTCCTGCGGCAGCACCGCCAGCATGAAGGTGAAGAATGTCAAAAAGTAAGAGCACGTTTCTCTGATTTTCCTGTTCCAGGTTCACTATCCTGGGGTTCAGCTGTTGTGCTGCAATACAGGGAATTCAGCAGTGATTTTTCACAGTATCTTCAGCAGAGCAACCAAAATCTGTGTGAAACAAAATTCTGACTGATGTAATCCAAAAGTGGGGATGGGAGAGGCTCTGCTCTTCTCTCACCTGTTTCTGGCCACAGAAGCAAAGCTTGGTAGAGTTGTGAACCTCACTCTTACAGTGTTTTTAATTTTTCTGTGATTTCTTCCTGAAACTGGAAAAAAAACATAGAGAAGAAATTTGAAGAGAAGCCCAGGCAATGTGTAAATGAGATCATTTTCTCTGTCTCCCTATGCTCTGGAAAGCTAAACCAGGACAAGTGGGTGGCCTAGATATATTTTTCATTTGATATTTTTCCTCTTTTCCTTTCTTTTTGCATTCTTTGTATCTTCATTTGAATGGATTTTACCCAATTTTTCCTTTTAGGGGATATTTTTTTTTCTCTGATCCCCCAGGTTGGTTTTTTTCCTGTGGGTTTATACAATATTTCTCTCTCTGATTGTTTCCCAGAGACTGTAACCCAAGTTACTCTGCAGCTAAGGTTTTAAACCTGCAATAGGGATCAAAAATAATCAATATTACTTTGCTAAAAGTGCTGACTAGAGGCCCAGAACTCCCCAATATTGATCGATCTGTGCCTTCAGCTCTCCTCTTCTGGTGCTCTGCTGTGAGGGAAGCGGCTCTTTGTTCTGGTGCTGAGCAGCCAGATGCTCATCTCCCTTCCCACTTGTATTCCCGTGGGAAGAGAGAGCAAGATAATGACAATCTCATTGGCTCCCCCCCGAAATATCTATTGGAGTCTAGAATAGCTTCAGCAGAAGCAGGAGCATGTGCAGAGCCACAGGAGCTCCCTGGCAGCCTCCAGGGTAGCTGGAGACACTCGAGAATAATGATGCCTGACTTTTGGATTTGAAAGAGGCAAAGGATAAATAGAGTTTGTTCTGCACCCTCAGATACATCCCCCCGGGACTGATGGGCTGTGATGCCTTTCACAGGTAATTCTGCTTTCCTTGTGTCTCGTGTAAGGCTGTGGATGTGCATTTGTGGAGCTGCAGCTGCTTGTCCCTGCTCCGTGTCCCCAGGCTGCTGGTGTTGCTGGAATGCCACAGGGTTCTGTAGGGATGCAGCGGGCTCTGGTGGTGCTGGAATGTCACACAGTTCCCCAGGGATGCAATGGAAAAGCCACTTGGCACTGCACTTCTCCTCTCTCCCTCGGTTCCTTTCCCCACTGTTCTGGTGCATCACATCAACCCACCCCTCTGTTCCCTTGGCTGCAGGATGAGGAGGTTGTTATTTATCCTTCTGTTCCCTTGGCTTTGGGATGAGGAAGCTGTTGTGTTATCCCAGTGATTGTGTTTTGTGGCAGTGCTCTGCATCCCTCTCATGGTGTGCTCTTGGTGTGCTCCAGGTTATCCTTCACCAAGGGGCACTTCCCGAAGATGGCTGAGTGTGCACATTTCCACTACGAAAACGTGGATTTTGGCAACATACAGGTGAGTCCCACATTTCCTTTATACCCAAAACATCCTTGTGCTTAGCTGCCAACTGACCTGGTGTGGAGGAATAGAGGGGCCTGCCCTGAGTTTGGTGCCGAATGTTTAGTAAGAAGTCAAAGCAGTAGAGTCTTTCTTTGGAATTGCTTCCATGTGCTGGGCCAGAATCTGCTCTCGGCCACGTGGAGCTCTCCTTTGAGCTTGGAGATTTGGTTTTATTCCCACTGGATTTGACTGATGTCACTGTTTTAAGGCTTCATTAGACATTCCTTATTGAGTCATCTGCAATCACTGCATGTGCATTTTCAGTTTGTGTGTGTGTGTGTGTGATTAAACTGTTGCGTGAATGGACTGATGTAAATACAAATAAATCACATTTCTCTGCTCCCAGAGCTCTGCATTGTGCATTGCAGCAGCTGTGTCATCAAAATCCAAGGCAGTGGTGCAATTCTGGAAGTGTGCAGCTCTGCTCCTGCGTGATCCACCCCTCAGGAACACAGGCAGGAGCATTTTCCAGGAGCAGCACCAGGGAGGACTCAGACCCAGCAGCCACTGCTGGTTCTCACAAACAGGGCACATTTTGTTCTGCACTTAGAGAAGCAGAAATGCCTCCAGCATCTGCCAGCCTTGTAGGCAAAGAGAGGTTACAACCTTTTCATTTGTAAAACATTTCCTGTAATCCAGAGTGAATTATTTACAGCTTTTCCTGCTGTAGAACTTGACAGCTTTGCAGGCACAATTTGCAGCTGGTTTTTTTAACTCTGTAAAATTCCCACTGAGGAGGAGCTTGGTCCTGCTGAGGGCTGGGATGTGCTGCTCCTCACACCTCGTGGCCCTGAGCAGGTCAGGTCTGGGTGGGCCCTGCAGACACTGGGCAGAGCAGTCCCACCAAAAGCTGGACACAGAGGACACATCTCTGACAGGTCTGTGGGACAGGGGCTGCTGGGCAAACAGGAGCAGTCCCTGCAAACTCTGTTTATTTTCATTTTCTGTGTGTAGGAACAATGTGATCTACCTACGTCCCTGTTTTTTGTCTCCTGGTAATTTGCTGATTTGACACCACTAATTGTTCAGTCATTTGAGGGAGCAGGAATGAACACCTGGGGTGTTTTGCACCCTGTGCTCCTCTGAGTTCTCCTTTCCATCACTCAGGGATGTTCAGCACAGTGTGTGAGCTGGAGAGGGAGCACAACCTGTCCATGGCACTGGCATTTTTGACAAACAGTTTAATTCTTTCGTGGGTTTAAGCATTTCCTGGGATGTTTTCAGGATGGCAGGGAATACCTGTTGGGTTGATATGCTGAGATTTTTGTGCTTGTCAGAGGGAGAAGCAAAATCAGATAATACTTCCTTTCCCTACTTTCCTGCAGGATGTTCTGGTGGCAAGTTCTCCCAAACAGGAGGAGTCTGACCCTTGCTTTTGTGGTGTCACTGCTGCTCCTGCAGCTCCCCTGCTAATCATCCTGCTCAGTGATCCTCTGGCACAGCCAGACCAGCAACTATAACCAGAGGAGATCTGCCTGAAAAACAGCAACAGGGGAAGGATATAGCCCAGGAAGGAAAAATGGCATTGATTATTGAGCTGGATTATTGGTTATCTCAGCCCCTGAGCTGTCTCCTCTCTGTGTCTGTGCTGTAGTTCCAGGAGGACAGTGGCTGATGGCAGCATGGGAAGCACTGTCATAAAACTGAGACTGTGTGTGTTGAGAGGTCAGTTCTCTGTTCCCACCACATCATCCTCTGCAAAACCCTACATTTTTAACTATTTGTGCTCCTAAAGCAAAATTTCTGCTTAAATAGGTGACTCAGGCCCTCTGTGCCTCTCACTCCTTCCTTTTCCTGAGCAAGATTCCTGGTAGACCCCCTCACTGCAATGACTTTTTTAAATGGTTAAAAATCTCTCAAGAACAAGAGCTTTGCTCCTGAAGTCCAGAAGAGTAAGGCATTGCAGATTTTCCTTGGAAGACCAGTATTAATGGTGAAAGAAATGAAAGCTGTTCATACAACAGCAGTATTAGTTTACAGATTTAAAAATAGCTTCATACAGGGCTCATACATTTTAATCAGGTTGGAGGCTCCTTTGTGCTCCCAAGGTGGAGCAGAGAATGGCAGTGGGCTGGAGTGATGGGAAGTGACAGCTTGGCACCTAATAGCAAATTACTGAGCTGCATCTGAGGGCTGGTGGGTGGAAACTCCTTTCAAAATCTATTCACTGTTAAAAATTTGCATGGGAGAAGTACAGTATTATGTGGCTGTGTCAGGAATTGTGTAATGCTGTCTATTAACAGCCTGGCCAAATTTCAGGTTGTTTTGTAACGTTTATGTCACTTATAATATGGTGCAAGAGGTATTAATATCCTGGCATTTCACCTCATGGGATATTTTAAAATAACTTGCTGAGATGGAGAAGAAGGGATTTGTTCTCTTCTTATCCCAGCACTGTAGCAATGGAACAAAGTGTATTTTGGGGTGCTTTTGCTCTTCAGGAATGTTCTGCCAGGCTGCTTTAGCAGCAAGGTTTTCCCCTTCTCTGTGGTTGTCAGCAAGGCACGTGTTGCACGGGCAGGAAGTTGCTGGTTCACCAGCCGATGTCAGAGCTGGAGTTACAGGTCGGGCTCCATAGGTTGCATCAGTGCCCAAACCTCACTGGTGTGTTGCTGAAATACCTTATGTTTATTACTGCAATTATTTTGTAAGGCTGCATGATTGATTTTTAATTTGTAATGTAAACCCGAGTTGTGTCTAATAGATATATTTTAGTCTGATGTGGGATAAATGTTTAGAGCTGAGGCTCAGCCTTGCCGTGTTCTGTGTGGCCCAAGGGGATGCCATGAGACCATGGTTCTTCTCAATTTAACTAAAACACAAAGCATCTCCTCTTTAAATCTTTGGATCTGGTTGTCACTCATTGAATACATCGCTGGTAAGTCCACATGAAAATCTCCGTACAAACAGAAGGTCATTTCCAAGTGGTTAAACTGCATTTGTGCAGAAGACTCTCTGTCATTAAACCTATAAAATGATAAAAGTACACACTCTGGAATACAGAGAGCTGATGGTCACCATCAGCACTTTGCATGTAGGTAGTGCAAACTGTTTCTTATCTCTTGGTCTTTTCTCAGATTTGTGAAAAAATAACTGAAAATAACTCATCAGGTGTGGGACCTATTGAGGCAGCTTCAAATTCACCAAGTTTAAAAAATGTGAGATAAGGCCCCATAGCCTTTTGTTTGCATTAAGAACCAACTCTAGACTGAGACAGAGTTAAATTTCCCTTATAATTTAAAGAGACATTAATATAACTGTATGCTAAAAAAAAGTCTCAGTCTGGTTACCCAGCCTGGCTTGGGTTGATTCTGCTGGACTCCTTCTCTCTTTATCTCTGCTGCCTTTCCGTGATTCTTGGCCAGTGTCTGTCTGTGATGCCTCTCCAGAGCATCCAAACTCAGTTTATTAAAGTACGAACTAATCCTGGTTGCACTCACATTGGTGTTCAGTGCCCAACCAGCCTCTGGGGGAAGAACCTTTGCCTGAGATCCAACCTGAGCCTGCCCTGACTCTGTTGGGAGTCCTCAATCTCTTCCAGGAGGGCTCCCCATGCACTGAACTTCCGGAGTGCCTGAATCATCCCAGTGGAACTCCAGATGATTTCCCAGGCTGTACCTAAGGCACCTTATGAAATGTAAGCAGAGTTTCAGTGTCTGCTGGTTGAAGAGCTTCCTGAGGGGTGTGAGCTGTTCCCCAGGGAGCTGCTGACCCACACAGGTCCTGCACCAGCCAGGGCAGCTCCTCCCGAGGCTGCTGGGGCTGAGGGGCAGTGCAGGAGGGGGCTCAGCCCAGGAGCTGGGGTGGTGTGTCCTAGGGCTGGGGAGCTGTTCAGTTGAACCCCTTCCCATGTCACTGAGTGTCTCAGGACAGCTGTGTCACAATGTCTGAGTGCCCTTCGTGAGCTTTAGGGCTTGTTAATGCACGGGAATCGAATTATTTCAGCAACCCCCCATGTAATTATTAACTTGGACAAAGTAGAATGATTCGCCCTCCTTTACATGGTGCAAATTGGTGGTCACAGCACCAACCCTGCCAGGGCTCAAGGAGTGTTTGGACAACACTCAGGCACAGGGTGGGATTTTGGGCTGTCCTGTGCAGGGCCAAGAGTTGGACTCAATGCTCCTGGTGAGTCCCTTCCAACTCAGGACATTCCATGGTTCCCTGAAATGTGGTTTTACTTTATTACTGCTCTGTGCCATTAATATAAACAGGAGAAACAGTGCTCAGGTATTCCATAAATATCTTTACTTCCTACCAGAAATAAAGACTCTGTTCTTCACTTGAAAGAATTAGGAAGTTCTGTTTAGCTGGGGAGGTTTTGGTGATGGAATACAGAGAGCTGATCAGCTCTGTGCTTCCCAGATAATATCCTTTGCTCCCTGAAGGAAGTGGTGTAATGCACATTTATTTCACTCCAATATCTTGCATTTGACACAGATTTGCCCCTTCTAACAGCACAGTCTCTGTCTCTCTGTGTTTGCTGCTTTCTAAAAATACCCCCCTGTTGGGGCAGGGCTGGCTCTGGGCTGGAAGATCCTCTCCTTATCTCCCAGCTGTGGCCCAGTGGCAGGAGCGGGTTATCAGTGCTAAAGGAAGTATTTGAAGCACAATCACTTCCTCCCGCGGAGGCATCAGCTGCCAGGAATTCCTGTCAGGACCAGGAGCATTGTGTGCTGTGGGAATGCCTTTGGCACAGCCTCCCAGCCAACCTTCAGCCCCCGGAATTGGATTTTCCTGTTGTGCCTCAACAGTCAGAAACATCCCAAAGAACAGCTGAGCCCTTCTGTGCCTGTTGTCAGCAAAGCCTGTTCAGAAGATGTTTTTCGGGGTCATCCTTTGGTTTGCCTTTTTCCTTTTCTATATTAATGTTCCAGGGCAGGGGGGACTGTGCTTGGGGAGATGTCTCTGTTCATTAGACAGGAAGTTTTTTTGCCTGGGATGGATTGCCCTTG